AGCTATGAGGAGAACTTGCTGAAGAATAGTATCAACAAAGAACTCACTGAGTTCAGGAATGAAAAGCAGGAGAAGGGAAGATGAGAAAGGACCCGAAATCTAATCTTAAGTTATCTTTAGACTTGGCTTTCTGGTGAGGTGAGCCAAAAGACGGGGAGGAAGGAAGGGAGGAGAAAGAAAACCGGGGAAAGAAGCCCGTAAGTGTTAAATCTCATGTAGAAGAGGCTTCTGTGCCCTCTCCTGCAGTCTCACGCAGCGTGGACAGTGTAGCAGCCGTGCACCACCGCCAGTAAGTGCCACGGAGAGGCCCCGTGCTGAGTGAGCGCTGTGAGTGACGCGGAGGAGGTGGAACGTGGTTTGGGCACGCCTGGCTGTTTCATTCTTAGGCTGACCAACATTACTTCTATTTGGAAATGATATGTCTTTCTGAAAAGCTATATTTTGATTTCAAAGTTTTCTTCTTCTTTCATTTCTGTTTTAAAAAGTTATGATGTTGACTTAGAATGCAGTAACTTCAATCCATTCAAAATGAAGCCAGATCTGGCTGCAAGCCAGGATGTGACTTGGATGGAAGCAACACATTATAATCAAACTATACTTGACTCTTCTGGTCTAAACATAAGAGATTGTGTACTCCTTCCAGTGTATGGGGAAATATGGAGAAACTTGGATAGCTGCCAGAATATAACTGGGTGAAACACACTGAGAAGTTTATATACTGATTTGTAGCTGATACCCCTTCATTTTAGCTTGTTTACAAATATAAAAGACTAAAAAGAGGTAGAATTAATACACTTAGGGAGCCCACTGAGATGTCTTACAAGAGCACTTAATACCTTTCAAAGGAAGTTAGATGTAGGATGATTTTCAGTTTTAATTCAGAAGACTTAGGAATTTCTTCTTGCTGGACCAAACTCTAGAAATAATAGAAAAAAGAGTTTAAAAGCATATCACATTCTTTCTTATAAGCAAGAGTGGTAGTTCTTATTTGGCCTTAAAAGGGAAAAGTGTTTAAAAATCACAACACTCTAGAGAGCCCAGATATAAGCCCAAGCATATATGTCAATTAATATATGATAAAGGGCCATGGATGTACAGTGGGGAAATGACAGTCTCTTCAACACCTGGTGTTGGCAAAACTGGACAGCTACATGCAAGAGAATAAAACTGGATTATCTAACCCCATACACAAAAGTGAACTCAAAATAGATGAAAGACCTGAATGTAAGTGATGAAACCATAAAACTCTTAGAAGAAAAAATATGCAAAAATCTCTTGAATATAAGCATGAGCAACTTTTTCTTGAACACATCTCCTCGGGTAAGAAAAACAAAATAAAAAATGAACAAATGGGACTACATCAAGTTAAAAAGCCTCAGTACAGCAAAGGACAGACACCATCAGCAGAATAAAAAGGCATCCTACAGAATGGGATAATATATTTGTAAATGACAGATCCAACAAGGGTTAACATCCAAACTATATGAAGAACTCACACGCCTCAACACCCGAAAAGCAAATAACCCTATTAAAAAATGGGCAGAGGATATGAACAGACACTTCTCCAAAGAAGAAATTCAGATATCCAACAGGTC